GTAGCCCTGCGCTGGACTCTCTCCAGCAGCTCCACATCCCTCTTGTACTGGGGAGCCCAGAACTGGACACAGTCTCCAGATGTGGCCTCACCAGGGCTGTGTATAGGGGGACGATCACCTCTCTTGACCTGCTGGAGACGCTCTTCTTAATGTACCCCAGGATCCTGTTGGCCTTCTTGGCCACCAGGGCACATTTGTGTCAATACTCCCACATGCTCTGCAGTGCTTCTAGTCTCAGTATGCTGTATTTTGTTACCTTCTCTGTTGAGATTCAGTTAATGTGCAGGAAAAAAATGTATGTATGAAAGTGTGGTTTCACTTCTTGCCCTCAAAGTAAGAGATGATGAATGAATTTAAATGGAAATTTTCAGTGGTTTCCATGCATTCTGATTGTCCTACATTAGTAGTATGAGAATTTCACACCTGATTGCATAACATGCTGCTTGGAAAAAGCCGTGGTAGCTGTGCCACTGAGCAGAGAGACTGATCTAGAAATAAAATCTAGGCTTAGGAGACTTCTGTTATCCATGACTTTATCTATTTCAGTATACTGATTAGCATGGCATCTTTATCCAGTCACAAAGCACCCTTGATTGAAAGAGGTAGTAAATTTTCATGAATGCTCCAGTGGAGGGTGGGAAAGAAAGAGGTGCTTTTCCCTCAACACCATAATGGGCTTAAAGCAGGTAACTTAAACTATTCCTAAGCAGAAATGTTAGGTCACTGCCTCTGGCCTCTGGTCTTGCACGCGATTATATGCTCACTTCATGGCCTTTTTTTTTCTGCTCGGGAGAGTCTTTTTCCTTAATTATAATTTCCCAGAAATAATTCTTAAGGAAATAATGTCTTGTCCTTAGAATCCAGTCTTGCTGGATTTGCTGGTTGTCAAATACTTTGTCATGGGAAGCCTTCACCACAAAGACATTTAAGATGTAAAGCTCTGGGAGATGGTCATGACTGGACCTTTTTTCAAAGGAGGAAGTAGCTAAGTTTATTATCTATTAAGTTGTTTGCTTATTTTTTTTAAAGATGGACAATATGTTATTGTGTGCATCTTTAGAAACAAGGACCCTACTGCATATGTAGTGTGCTTAAATCACATACACAACCTCTGGACATTAGGTACAGCAAATTTATTTTGAATCACAGAATCACAAATGGTTGAGGTTGGAAAGGGCCTCTAGAGATCACCTAACTCAACCCCCCTGAATTCATTAATTGCTGATTATTTTCATGAGACAACATATAAAAAAAAATGAGGAATGTAATCATTATAATACTTTGTTAAATAAACCCTATTCATTGAAAATCTAAAATAACTGATAAGATATGAAAGGTATTATTAAAAATTCATATACAACGCTGGTAGAATGAAACAGACAGGAAGCACTGCTGAGCCTGAAAAGCTGCTCCTGAAAGGTAGGATATCTAAAACTGAAATGTGCAGTAATGGATATCGATCCTGAAGCCTTTGTTGAAGTGAAATTGATAGATGTAATGATTTGCTTCTAGTAATGTGAGGGGAAGTCTAGATATTGAAGTGTGATATGCTGAAGTTATTATGATTTGTGAGTGTCTGACATCCCTAGTTAGAGCACTGGTAGTCTTCCATGAAACGGAAATGAAGGGTAGGAAAGGACCTTTTTTTTTGAATGATGAAGCTTATTGAAGCTAGACAAATAATGTCATCACTCATCAGTCATTTGGGTTTTAGTTATTGTCGTATGAGGACCTGTTGTGGCTGCATCTAATAAGTCTTAAAGCATAAAAGTTTCTAAGCCCAGCTGATACCCTCCTAAAATGCATGTGGCCTTTTGTCACCCAAATCCAGGCTGTTTCACTGACTCATGTTTGCTTGATTACAGGTACTGCAGTTTTACTCAGAAAAAGGCACAGAAATACGCTGCAGATAGGAGACACCCTCTCTCAAAAAAACGCTCTTGTATTTGAGCGTGGAGTGGCCTAATTGCTGCTATTTGAATTCATCATCAGTCTTGCAGCTGGGAAATACAGAATGGAAGATACAAGGTCACTTCTTGGGTTCAAAGGTGGACGCATGAGGAAATGTTCTCAGAAATTTGTCTTTCACTTGTATTTCTTCAAACACCTTACCACTAAGTAATCTTTAAGTCCAAATCTTGCCAAAGCAGAAAAATCACTCGAGACTACTTTCTGCAATTTATATTAAAAGCATGTTTATAATACAAGACTCTTCCTTGCAAATCTGTATGTTCAAGGTACATAAATTCTACAGCCGATACAGTGGACAGATCCCAAGGAAGCCAGAAACTGTCCAGATATAAATCACATATCTAGATCTTATATTAATATGTGTATTATGCTAAACTGATGTGTCACATTTAGGGTTTCTAGGATCTTCTAGGCTTTATTTTTTTTTTTTTGTTTCTATTTGCCTCTGAGTTGTTGGCTTTGGTTTGTGAGTTTGTCACAAGAACCTGGCTATTAAGAATTAGGAAAATAATAAAAGATATTGAAAGAATGWTGACAGGTTGCAATATAAACAACAATAATTAAGTGCTGACAGCTGGAAATAGAACCTGAAAGAAAAAAACAACAGCCAGCGAAAAATGAAGACAAGAGTCAGGATYCACTGTGATAAATTGCCAGAGGCCAATGATTGCCATAAATTGGCATAGGTCAACTCCCAGTTGACTCCTGAGAGCTCATGTTAGAGAAGAACAGGTCCAGAGTTCATAGCCTCAGCAAGCTTTATTTTGTTACCTCTCTAATAATCTGAAGTTTACTTCTCTGTTTATATTCAGTTAATATGCAGCACTTAATGATCCTTTAAAATAAATTGCAATGTGTGAAAATATGTATGCATGTTTGCAGAAATACACTTCTCATATATATATATATATACACCTATATGCCTTTTTTTTTTCCCTTGGATGCTATAACACCTAAAGAAAGGAAAAAAATGAAAGCCATTAGAATTGAAGTACCATGTGAAATAGCAATTTTTAATTGGGTGCACCTGAGCTTATAGGAATAGTAAGCACTAAAGATTACAATGAGTTGTACAACTTTTATATTTGTAAGAAATTTTGGGGGCTTTTTGGAAAACTAAAATAACTTGGATATTCTTAAAGTGAAAATGTGACGCCATTTTAAAATCACCATTTTAAAAGTAGCTTTTCATGAATTAATGAAAACAGGAAATGGTAAACACACCTCATTTAACTAAATGCATTGCAACTTCTCAAGTCTAATAGATGATACAAGAATTAAAAAAAAAAATCTCTTCTAAGCTTCCCACACTTCAAGTAGTGTTGCCACGATAACATAAAAGTCTTGTAGGAACATTCTGGTACTATCATTCTGAAGCAGAGAAGCAAAGGTGATTCAGGTTCTTGGTATGAGTCATATATCTTGTTTGCAAGGACTTCTAAAATGTAGGATTATTATGTAGATGATTATGAAAATTATGTATTATCTGCTTAACCAGGAGACATGATGTGAACTTTTTTTTCATTCATTTGCTGTAGTATGGGAGAAATATCTTATTTTTTGGCTTTTATATCTCACTTTTCCTTTTTTTCTTGAAATAGTCTTTTCTTCATTAGCATTAGAGCTCTAGATACCTTTTTTCCTTTGCCATTTACTCCTTTTTCTTCTCATTTTAAGTCTTTTCCCCTCCCTTTTCACTCCTTGCTGGATTAAAGCTGTTGTATTTAGACCCCTAGTCTTTGCATTTTTCTGCTGTTCCTGTTCAATGCAGTATGTCTAACATTTGGCGAAAAAAAAGCAACATATATAACAATAGCTAGACTCTAGTGAGCAGTCAAACAATCCAGACAGATTTCTTGGTTATTGGCTATCCCTTTCAGCAACTCAAAATGTGGAAGAATATTTTATGCCAGAAATTTTGCCTTTTCTCAGTTATAGCAATATAAATCTGGTGGTTATTCGTTTATATGCACACCTGCATTTTATTGTTTCATATATTTTTAATGTTCACATGTGTATCATCTTGTGATAGAATCTATCCTTATCGCTCCTCTGTTACCCAAGTTTCTGTCATTAGTACTGGCATATGTCTTATGTATACAGAAAACTGTAGGCTACCAGAGAAATCTCACTTTTTAGAGTGTATTTCTTTGGTACATTTATTTTTATGTTGTTAGTTTATGCAAAGACAGCACAATTTGTTTTTCTTCCTCTTCTTCTCTTGTTCTGTGACAGTTTTATATTGATAAGGCGCATGGTTCTACAGACAAGTTGATTGTTCTCACATTTTTTTTAGTAAGTGACAAATATATTGAGAAGGTTAAAATTATTTTTCATTTTACTGCTGCTGGAGTAGGCAGCAGCAAATGCTATATTCTATGGTGCTTATTACTGCAACAGAAAGGCAAGAAAAAAAGCCAAAYAAATAAATAAACCCCACATACTATCCCAAGATGAAAATACATTTATTGTGAAGCAGCATGGAAGAATCTCCTTTCTGCTGGAACAGTAATGGTGGTAAAATCATTTTCCAGAAGTCAAATATACCATAACATTTAGTTACCTTCGGCAGATCTCTCACTGAGACCTATTCCCCTCAGTATTTACTGTCCACCTGAGAGTAACAGAGCTCAGCTGTCAGCACTAGTAGTAGGAAGAGGAAGTGGTGATGGGCATCTTATAATATATTACAGAGTCTATAGTCGTTCTTAGTACTTGCCAAATACCTCCTTCTTTCTCCCTTAAAGGAAAAGAATGTTAAAGATCTCGGTAAGCTGTTTGTCAGGTATTAAATATTGGAGGCTGTTGCATTGTGCTTTCAGTGTGACACACAAGCTACTAAGTCTGTACTTAGTAGGCCCAGAATGAGCTTTTCAACTAAGGAATCTGAATTGAAAACATAAATGTTGTTCTCTTGCRTTGACCTTCTATGCTGGAAGTTCTCTATCTATCTCATTATCAGGTAATTCTAGGTAAATAGCACTTTTCTAGAAGCTAATGAAAAGGTTTAGGTGACATTCACACCTCTTAATTGGTGCCAGTAGCAAGAGAAGCAAAATGTTGGAGRTACTGAATATTGTAACACTGAATATAAAACTGAAATTATTAGCTTGTGGAGAAGACAGGTTTGGCTATATCCCTACATATTGCAAGCCAAATCTTGCTTACAAATAAATGACAAAATTCATTATGAAGAGTTTCATAATAGATAAGTCTACTGCCTGTAATCCTGAAAGTCCATGATGCWGCCTCTGTATTCTGTGTTTCTCTTTTTCATCTCACTTGTTATTTCCCTCTCATTTAATTTTGTCCAACATCTTTCAGTCAAATACTTATAAAATAATCTTTTTTCTTTTTAATACAGATTTTCTGTGGTACTGTTTACCTTCCTGCACTTCCATGATCCTGTACAGATGAAAGAATTTGCTCTAGAGCTACTTTGACCAATGTCCTGTCTGGTTGAAGCCTGGAGCTATTTGTGCTCCTCTTTACAGAAATGGTCAGTTCCTGCATCTGAGCACCTCTGTTCTCCTCAGATCAACCATACAGAATAGGACACATTATTAGCTTCAAGGTGCAAAAGAGAGGTACAGGGGCTTGAATGCCTTAGCTGTGGTCACACTGGCCATTTGGTTTCTGAATTTCTGGACTAATGCTTTTGCCAGCTGTCCTTCCACATGGATGTAAGGCTGCTGCCTGTATAGCACTCATTCATGTTTTATAATTTCCTTCAAGATTGTGGGACTAAAATATYGATTCACAGGTTTTTGTATTAGGTTTCCAATAGAGGCCTATTTGAAAGGAGAAGAAAATAAACAGGATAATCTAGGTAATACTCTGTCAGAGAGTATCTGGAAGGAAGAGGGCATCAGGGCTGAAGTCAGAAGGAATCACTTTGAGAACAAAGGAATTTGCTGTCAGGAGAGAAGCTTTTGGATCCAAATGAGGCGGGAGAGGCAGTCAATGGGAAATGGGCACTGGGAATGGTGGCTCACAGAACAACTGGTGCCAAGAGTAAATATGAAGTCAGACCATAGAAAAAACAAAATCTTTTCAAGGCACCAGAGTGGTATGGTGGCCTTTAGTGTGATTTATAGAGCAATTGAAACAAAGCCTGAAAGCAAACATCCCTCTATAAGGTCATAGGAAAGACTCTTCATTTTTTTTTTTTTTATTTCTAATAGCTACACTTTTCTCATTAAAATATTTTACTGTTATAGCTCATAGTCTAGTTAAACCTGGCTTTTGAGTTTACAAGCCTTTCCAGTCTTTATAGGACACAACACAGTAAAAAGGGATCAAGGCAAATCCACCTCAAAGCTCTGGATGACTCAGGGTACCATCAGAAGACCTTATTTCTCTTTCATTACTGTAATATTTGAAACAATTTCMAAGTGTTAAGGTCTTTCTGGTCAAGATTTCTGGGCCCCAGTTTAGGGAACCATGAGATATGATACGAAAGCCAGTAGTTATGGAAGGCTTAGTGGTAGCATCTGTGCAAGAAAAAAACAGAGAAACCATCCTGGAGACTTTATTCTGGAAGGCATGATGCTGTTGAGACAGGGAAAGGAGACAAGAGGTGATTTGCAAAATAAGATTTTAAGGTACCTATGGAAATCCAGTATAACTCTTTTCCACAAAAAGGCTGAGAAATGTCTATCAACTAGTACAAATTTAACTAGTGAAAATCTTTTGAATACATTTAAACCAGTCCAGCTCCTTTAGACGATCCCATCATTTTGAGTTATGTGGTCACAGAGCCTTGCTCTGGCATCTGGTATATTATCAAGCCAGAAGCTGACATACAGATGAGAGACAAATCCTTATTTTGCAGTTCATTTAAGGACTTGCTTGAATCCTAGTTTGAAAGCTTTCCTGTGTAGAAATAAAAGGTGTAAGTGCATCTTTTACTCTCTTTGAMCAAGGGCAGTAGCTAGA